AGGCAGAGGCCACAGAGGAAACGGTCAGGGGTTGTGTAAGCGGGAAGTTACAGAAGCCAAACAAGTGATTGGTTGATCCTGCTTTTGGGACCATATAAGGATCATAGAATATGATTGGGGCTGGTATCTTTCTTGGCGGGTTTTCTAAGGCAGGAACTTCTAAGGTGGGAACTCCTAAGGCGGGAACTTCTACTTCAGTGAAGAAGGGCGTGCAAGGTGAAGGTCAGAAAACAAAATGGAGTTCAGCACATGGAGTTCAGTAGGACTTCATTAGTCAGAAAGGTCCTTGGACTTTTAGCCAACATGGCAACATGAAAAGTTGTAGACAAGTCCAGCTTTTTCACAAATAACCAAGCAATGGGAACTGCAAAGAAATAAATTCTTACTTGATGTCAAGAAAAAATTCCTAATAATTACAACTGTCTCCAAGTAGAATGATCTGCCTGAGGAGGTAGTGGGTTCCCTCCAATTGGAGGAATTTATTCAGCAAGATTGGATGGCCACATGTGAGATATGTTGTAGTGGGAATTCATTTTTAGGTATGGGTTACACCAGATGACCACTGAAGTCCTTTCCAAGTCTGAAATTCCATCATTCCGTAAGCCACTGGTCCAGTTGATGGCTGTGAGGCCCAAGCCAAAATCTTCGCCCTTTGCCCCAAGGGAAATCTGACTCACAGGCCCCAGACCCTCATCTCCCTTTGAAAGCCTTAGCTTTACCTTTTAATCTTATTCAGATGCGCCCTACAAGAATCTGACTCCCTTTTCTCTATAGGCCCCAGAAAGGCCTTCTCTGGTCTCAAACTGTTCCTTATTGACTCCCCTTATCTCCTTTTGAAAGTCCTAGCCCCACCTTGATTTTGTGCAGATGCCTTTCAAGCTTCTGCCTTCCTGTTCCCTCCATTAGCTATTCCCATTGTCTATTCAATCTCTCAGACCTCCCCAATTAGAATTGTTACCTAGACCCTTTTCCCAACCCCCTTCTCTGGCCACCCAAAGTTACTTAGTATTTAAGATCCACCTTGGCCCTCATTCAGATGCTGAGAATCTCAGGCCCACAGGCTGAGAACCTCTCATGCCCGCTTGTCTTTACAGGCGTCACCTGGTCAATGTGATTTATCACTAATAAACTTTTCTTCTGGCTGAAGAAGATTTGAGTTGAATTCATTCAGCAGGGCCCAGTACTGCGATCTTGGGGTCCCAGCACCCCAAAAGTCCTAGACCTCTTCACAGTGTCCCACTGTATTTACTTCATCTTCCTAACACTGAATTCCCCATAAAAGTGCCCTTTCTCCCTTTTCACGTTACCTTAAGGATCCTCATTTATTGCTCTGCTGAGTATGATAATTCATGAGTAAAATATATCAATCTGGCTAAGTCAGCCTGGCAACCAATTTAGTTTTTAACTTACTAACCTGGGCTTCATGTTGCATTTTCTATGTCACATTTGCTAATCTTAAACTCTGATGCTCTTTTTTCTGCCATCCAATGTCTTCATAGTAAGAGAATGTATGTGTCCACAACAATCATTGTTGTGACTTTGCTAAAGTTGTTAATTATTTCAACTAATTTTTTAGTTGATTCTGTAGGATTCTCTAAGTATACCATCATATCATCTACAAAGAGTGACACTGTTCTTTAAATGTTTGCTAGAATTCACTTGTAAATCCACATGGCCCTGGAGATTTTGCCCTTTCCTTTTTTTCCTTTGCCAGGGAATCAGGGTTAAGTGACTTGCCCAGAGTCACACAGCTAATAAGTGTCAAGTGTCTGAGGTTTGATTTGAACTCAGGTACTTTTGACTCCATGGCCAGTGCTCTATTCACTGTGCCACCTAGCTGCCCCAAGATGTTTTTCTTAGGGAGTTCATTGATGGCTTGTTCAATTTCTTTTTTCTAAATTGGTGTTATTTTGTGTCCTCTTCTCTTTAATCTGGGTAATTTATATTTTTGTAAATATCCATCCATTTCACACTTAGATTGTCAGATTTATTGGGATACAGTTGGGTAAACTAGCTCCTAATTATTGCCTTAATTTTCTCTTCATTGGTGTTGGATTCACCCTTTTAATTTTTGATACTGAAAATTTGCTTTTCTTCTTTCTTTTTAAAATCAAATTATCCAAGGGTTTATCTATTTTATTTCCCCCCCAAAAGCAGCTTCTTAGTTTTATTTATTACTTCAATACTTTTCTTACTTTCAATTTTATTAATCTTTGATTTTTAGAATTTCCAATTTGGTATTTAACTGGGGATTTTTAATTTGTTCTTTGTCTAGCTTTTTCAATTGCATGCCCAATTCATTGATCTGCTTTTTATCTAATTTATTTGTGTAAGCACTTAGAGATATAAAATTTCCCCTATGTACTGCTTTGGCTATATTCCATAAATTTTGGTATGTTTTCTCATTATTGTTGGGTTTTTTTGATGAAATTATTGACTGTTTCTACAATTTGTTGTTTGACCCACTCATTCTTTAGGATTATTTAATTTCCAATTAATTTTTAATCTATCTTTCCATGGCCTCTTATTACATGGAATTTATATTGTATCATGATCTGAAAAGGATACATTTAATATTTATGCCTTTCTACATTTGATTGTGAGGTTTTTAATGTCCTAATACATGGTCAAATTTTGTGTAGGTGCCATGTAACTGCTGAGAAAAAGATGTATTTCTTTCTATCTCCACTCAGTTTTTTTAGAGGTCTATTGTATCTAACTTTTCTAAAATTCTATTCACCTCCTTAACTTCTTTCTTATTTATTTTGTGGTTAAATTTATGTATTTTATGAGAAAGGAAGGTTGAGGTGCCCCACTAGTACATACCAAGTATATGTGTGTGTGTATACACACACACACGGTGCATATGTTTAGTACTGATGTTACTTCATTGTCTATGGTACCTTTTAGCAAGATATAGTTTCCTTCCTTGTCTCTTTAAGTAGATATAGTTTTGCTTTTGAAAAACCTGAGGTCAGGGGGCAGCTAGATGGTGCAGTGGACAGACCTCCTGCCTTGGAGTCAGGAGGACTTGAGTCCAAATTCAGCCTCCAACACTTGACACTTACTAGCTGTGTGATTCTGGGCAAGTCACTTAACTCCAATTGCCTCAGAAAAAACAAAATAATAAAACAAAACAAACAAAAAACTGAGATCAGGTCTGCTACCCCTGCTTTTTTTTTTTTACTTCAGCTGAAGCATAGTATATTCTTCTCCAGCCTTTTACCTTTTCTCTGTGTCTCTCTGCTTCAAATGTGTTTCTTATAAAAATATATTGTAGGATTCTGATTTTTAATCTACTCTGCTATTCACTTTCCTTTTATGGGAGAGTTCATCCCATTCATATTCACAAATATGATTACTAACTTTGTATTTCCTTTCATCCTATCTTCCCCCTTTTCATACTTTTCTCCCTCCTTTCACCTTGTCTCTCCTCACCAACGTTTTGCTTCTGACCACTGCCTCCTCCAATTTGCCCTCCCTTCTATCAGCTCCCTTTTTCTTTTCCCTTTTTCCTCCTATTTCTGCCCTCCCTTTTATCATCCCCTCCCTTTCTTTTCCTTTTCTCCTTTTACTTCCCTATAAGGTAAGATAGATTTCTTTACCCTACTGAATGTTTATGTTATTCCCTCTTTGAGCCAAAGCAGATGAACAGGGTTCAAACAATGTTTACCCCGTCCCTTCTTTCCCTCTACTGTAATAAATCTTTCATGCCTTTTCATGTGATATAATTTCTCCTATTCTGCCTCTCCCTTTCCTTTTCTCCCAGTACAATCCTTTTCTTTTTTAACTCCTCAATCCTTTTTTTTTAATCATCACATCAAAGTAAATTTATACCCACACACTCTAAGTATACTCCTTTCTAACTGCCCTAAAAGTTTCAGTTCTCAAGAGTTACAAGTGTCATCTTCCCACATCTTCTCATGTAGGGATGTAAACAGTTTAACCTTGTTGAATACCATGTTTTTTTTCTTTCCTGTTTACCTTTTTATGCTTCTCTTGAGTCTTGTATTTAAATATTAAGTTTTCTGAGCTCTGGTCTTTTCATCAGGGAAGTTTGAAATTCTCCTCTTTCGTTGAATACTCATCTTTTCCCCTGAAAGATTATGCTTAATTTTCCTGGGTAGTTGATCTAATCCAAGCTCTTTAGCCTTCTGAAATATTATATTCCAAGCCCTCTGATCCTTTAATGTAGAAGCTACTAATTCCTGTGTAATCTAACTGTGGCTCCTTGATATGTGAATTGTTTCTTTCTGCCTGCTTGCAGTATTTTCCCCTTGACCTGATAGTTCTCGAATTGGAGCAAACCCCTTTCTTGAGGGGAGAGGGGAGAGTGGAAGAAAATGAGCACTTAAATGTGACAGAAACCCAAAAGAAAAAAAAAGTCAGATTTCTCTTGGGCAGCTAGATGGCACAGCACACCTTGGAGTCAGAAGGATCTTAGTTCAAATACTCATTCAGACACTCACTAACAAGTCTTTTAACCTTTGTTGGTCTTATTTTCCTCATCTGGAAAATGGAGATAATAAGGTGATTGTGATGATGATCAAATGATATAACATGCATAAAAAAGAGCTTTGAAAAATCTTAGAGTATTATATAAGTATTAACTTATTACTTTTATTAGTCTGAGGTTGGCAAGTGGGTAAGATTGGGGAGGGAAAACCCTTTGGGGCTAAGTGATATTAGCTGTTCTCATTCTCCCAAGAGTTTCTATGCATAAATTTGAAAACTTCTGATCAATGATGCTTTGTGTTTACTCCCTGATTTCCTTTAAGCCCTACCCCCCAAAGTCACTCCTTTTAAAGGAAGCCTTCTCTAAATCCTGTTAATTCTAGTACCTTCCTTTTGTTAATTATTTCCTATTTATCTTGTGAATGGTTTACTTTATATGTACATTTGCTTATATATTGTGTCCTTCATTAGATTATAAGCTCTTTGAGGGTAGCGACTGTCTTTTACCTCTTTTTATATCCCCAGCACTTAGCACAGTGCTTGGAACATAGTAGGTGTATAACAAATATTTATTGATTGATTATCATAATCATTATCATTATTATCATAATGATATACCATATGGATAAGTATATTTTACATACAAAACCACCAATTAAAATTATATGAAACATCTAACTAACATTAAAAATGATTCATCGGAAAAATAATATGGTTCTTCTATAGTACAGAATATTTATAGCTGTTAAAGGGTGTTGGCTCTCATCTGTAATCTGAAGCTTAAAATTAAAGTGACATGATATGGCTTTGCAGAAACATCTGACTTCTCTAAATTCCCATCGTTGTGACTTAAGGCATTTACCAAAGACAGACTAGAAATACATTAGGAAGCCATAGAGGCTTCAATGGCTTTAGCTTTTTCAGTGAAGTTCTTTTGAAAGGGCATCATGAAGTCTTCAAAGTCCACCTCATAAGTGAACCGCTCACGCCGCATTTCTCTTCTCTTGACTAATTCTGCAGTTGTAGCTTCAGGGCTCCAGAGCTATAAAGAAAAGTAAGGAGTCATTACAGCATGCCTAACAGGAAATCACACCAATATCAGAATGATTTTTGGATAAAATGAAATTAGGAAGATTAAAGCATCCGCATTTACTTTCAAATGAGTTTTATCTTTTCTTTTTTTTAATTCTCTATCAGTGCTTTTGTGAAATAATGGACATGTCTAGTACCATCCAACAAACATTTATTATGTGCTTCTTTTGGGCAAGACGCTATAGGCATCATTAATTTATGTATCTAAACTTAAACAAATAACAAAAACAATAATAATAATTTTAAAGCAGAGAGACCTAACAGAAGAAATCAAAACTATGTGGGAATATAATGAGCTGTCCTCCTGAAGTTGTACTGATGATGATTTCAGTGAGTCTACAGATAAGGGCACATCCTAATGCTCTCATTTTCATTTCTGAAAAGCAGACATTTTGACACCTGTGCAATAGACCACAAAATATGAAAGGAAGATATCAGGATATTTATTATCAGCATAATATCAGGATAGCAACTTGTTCTTGAACTATTTCTACCTCACCTTTCCAAAAAAGGTAAGAACAAGATAACAATAATAATAACAGTGCATTTAATAATACAGTGCTTTACAACTGTAACAAAGCACTTTAGAAACATGGTGCTTTCCAATCCTCCCATCAGCATTGTGAAGCAGGATGAATGTTATTATCTGCATTATGCAAATAAGGAAACAGCTGATTTGGGGCTGAGTAGAAGCCAAAGGTAACAGAGTGTTCTTCCCACTGCCACACCAAATACCTCTTCCAAATACCATCCTACTAGCTCCCCTAGGCAAAGTGGCCCCTCATTCTGATGTCTAAGATTTACAGTGGAACAAAAGGAAAATGAAAGAAAAAAAGAGGAGATAAAGGACTCATTCTCTGTCTCCTTTGTGGCACCAGGACTAAATTGCAGAGATTATTCACAGCTGCAGGCAAAGCAAGCCTTATGCACAGATGAAGGGTGTTTTGGCCTCAATGCTATAATGTGATAGACACTGGGTAGACCTCTCTTATCCTAAATAAGTGGAGATGGTCTAGTTTCGAATATTTCAGGTATGAAGCAACAAAATACTCTACTACGATTTTTGGAATGGGAATAAGAGATATTTAAAGAGGAAGACTGAATCACAGGACTTAGCATTGCTTGTTGTCCATTACAGATGAAAGAAAGGAATTCAAAGATATCATTAGAAAAAAAAGATTCAAAGAACTGCTAATAAAAATTTAGAAAGAAAGAGGGCTTAGAGTAGACCATGAGTTCAACTTTGGGGTGACAACTGAGTTTCAATTGAGGTGACAGTACAACATCAGAATAAGCTGTTGGGCAACAGAGAATTATAATTCAGTAAGAAAATCAGGCCTAGAACACGCAAATTTGAAGACTATGAGTATACAGGTGATAATTGAAGTTCTGAGAACAGGTGAACTCTCCAAAGGAAACAAATACAGAGTGAAAAAAAATAGAAAAAGCTAAAGATGGCCTTGGAAGAAGTCCAAAAGGCAATGGAAGTGGAAAAAGGAACCAGCAAACATGGCAATGGAGTGGTTAGAGTGGAAAAAAAGGAGAAAGAAGAATTTCAAGAAGGAAAGGGTGATCAAAATGCCAACTATAAAAATGGGATTAAGAAAAATGAAAATTAAGAAAAGACCTCTGGATTTATTAAGAAGGAGTCCATGCGTTAATGTTTATAAGGGTTTTTCAGAAGAGTGCTTGGTGTAGAAGCCAAATTTGAAAAGAGTATTATAGGAAAGGAATGAGTGATGAAGAAAATTAAACAGGAACAGACCACTTGATTCAAGAAGCATACTCACAAAAGATTATAGGCATAAGGGACTTTAGAATTTACACTGAAAGCAATATGTACATATTGTACATATTGTTGCATGAAGATTCTATAAGGTGGTACAATTAAAATGTTTCTTTGGTTTTCCCCCAAATGGAGGAAACTATGTACATATAAAGGCAGAATATGAGATGTTACTGGAAAAAGATGAGATTGAAAGTACTAGAGAAGGAAGGTTAAATTAAATAACTATAGGATGACAAAATCTCCCATTTCTGTGCCTTTGCATAGGCTGTCTTCCAAGCTTGGAATTCACCTTCTTCCTTACCTTTGCCCCTCAGAATACCAAGTTCAAGGTCTCTCTGAAAAACTTTGGAATTGGTTACATGACAAGGGAGACACTGGCAAAGGAGCTCCCAGCATGGTATGCCTGTATCAAAGAAGGCGCTGTTCTCTATGAGTAAAGCAGAATCCAAGTAGCTCAAAAGAAACCTGAAATTCACAAATATAGAGAATCTTCCCCAAATGTTCATTTGGACTATTTGTACCTGATCTGTGGTAGGGCATTCTGAGCTTCAACTGGTCTCATTAGCCACAGTCAGGTACACTGTAACCTGACTCTAACATAGTGATGTCCTTCTGGTCCTCTTCAAGAACAAAGAGCAATAAATAACCAACTAAGTTTTCTTCAAAGTTCAAACCAAACATCTCCTCCAATTTTGCAGCCTTTTCTCTAAAGCTACTAGAGATTCTCCTCAAAGAATCACCTTGTATTTATTTTCTATATACTCTTGTATGTACGTATTCATCTTGTTAATTCCTATAGAATGTAAACTCCTTAAGGGAAAGGATTATTTAATTTATGTCTTTGTATCCACAGTACCTAAGCAGCAACAGGCAGAAAGAGACTTTAATAAATGCTTGTTGACTGAATTCTTGAACAAATTATCAGACAGCAAAAGATTAGCTTCAGAAGGAACAAAAGACATCTCTCTGAGAGTTGTGAGAAGACCAAGATGTGTTGAAATGAAGATAAGAATAGTTAAGGATGCCTACCGCAGGATGACTTTGGTCTCAATATGGAAACTGCACTGTCCACCAGAAAGTGCTACATTTAGGATAAGCAGAGCTGCATTTAAATCCTGGCACTTAGTACTTGGAAAAGTCACTAAACATCTCTATGTCTTGAGGTTCCCTCTCCAAGTTCCTTTCTCTTTTAGCTCCTGTACTTCTTCTGGACTTTTCAGTAAAGGAGGAGTGAGGTGGATGGGGTGAGAGACTTAAGGGAAAGTCCCAAACCTTGAAGCTCTGGAGAGTGTACCAGAGAATCAACAAAAGATGGATGAACAGACTATACTCATTAATTGCATGCAACAAAAATAGTTTCAGATATCTAGGATAGCATCTAAAGAAACCTTAAACACTTTTACAGAGAAATATTTGGCATAAAATATTGCTAATACTGAAAGTGCTCATCATGAAATAAAATAAAGGCAGATACTTCAAAGAATATTATTATAAATACCAGTTCCTGTCTCTCATTCTATCCTTTTTTCCATTTTAACAATACATTACAATTCCTCTGTAACTTAAAAATCTGATTTTTAAAATATTTTAATATTAATTTATTTTGCCATTATTAATATATATTAAGAACATGTATAGATATGAAAGCTTTGGCATCAAGAAATTAACTGATGGCACATAGCAAATTACTGGAAGTGTTAGCACTGGAAACATAAAAAGCTCATCTTTTTCAACATCAAAACATTTGAAAGAAAAGTGGAAAATTCAGTTAGCCATAAGGATTTTTTTTGGGTGCCATTTAATCATAGCCTGAAGGTTACAATTTAAATATTGGTTAAGCTGAAGAGATTCAGGATCTCCCCTTTCCTCTGGATTTTGTTCTTCGTGAGAGTGAGTATACTAACTCAGAATTTACAAAGAAATAATGATCTGAGGGAGAAGATTAGTAGATCTATGTTAAAATGGCCAGTGATACCTTTAAGTATCTTAGCAGGGTAGAAATTAAACCAATGAGGGTTATGTCAACTATATAATATTTTAATGAATACACATGTTATTTCAAAAGCATTGAAAAACTATAGTGTGAAATTATAAAATAATATTTAACTTCTGCCAAAATACTTACTCTTCGTGGTATGAATGTGATGTTAACTTTCTTTGTAAATCCACTGGTAATCAGGGAATTGAGGTGAACAACATTATCCTTAATGGGCACTTTTACTTCCTTTACAGGTGGAATATTATAAACTGGTGGAAGTGACTCCTGAAATTTAATCCAAAAAAGTTATTAGTTATTGGAAAGTATTTTTTTTATGTTTTGTAGCTTCATTTCTTTGGCAATATGCTAGGCTCTGTTCTAAACTAAGAAATACATTTCTATACCATTTCATTCCAAGCAGAAATGGCTCCAATTCAGAGATTTTGTGCAAATTTGGGAAAAGCTGGTTTTGTCTTTAACTTGTTGCATCAAGAGCCATATTACATAAAGGCTTCACTCTAGTCTTTTGTGACCAGGTGCTTTCTCACTGGTTGGGCAGTTGGCTATCTAACTGAAAATAACATTAGCATATGATATGTACTGTTACCTACTGTGTTGGAGTTATTATTATCACTGTGGCAATCAGTTTAACTGTTCATGTCTCACACCAAGATTCCCCTCATTCCCTTTCATGATGGGGCAGCTCAGACTTCCAAGGAAACATTGCTATTTACTACCACCTCCTAGAAGTCCTCATTCTTGAAAACAGATTCTATACTTCTTCTGCCAATCACAGTAATACTCAGAAATGCCCATTTTCACTTCTCACTAGTTTTATAGGTGGGAATTTATAGCATGAAATTTTTTGGTGACTCAGAACTAGATGGGTAGTAAGCTTGACCCATTCCCAGTGGATTAGAAACAATGCAGGGGAGGGAGGAAATATAAACCATTATGCTGTCTAGACTACCACGGCAAGCATGACACTAAACTGTCACCAAAGCATAGCATCTCAGGTGGAAGGAAGGGACCTTAGCAGCCATCAAATCCAGGCCCACCCTCTCTTCTTGGGAACACCAGAACAAGTGATTATCCGGCTTTTGCTTGAAGACCTTCCATAAAAGGGCACATGTAACATGTCCTGACGGTACTCATTCCAAATTTGAATTCCAATTTCTAATTGTAAGGATTTTTTAAAAAATTACATTAGACGGAAATCTGCCTCTCTGTGACTTCCTTTTATTGCTCCCCTGGAGTCACTCCTTTTATACTTGACAGTCACAGGTATTATGCTCTCCAGAAATCTCTTCTCTTTACTTCCTCACAAGGGAGGGTTTCTGTACTCCCTCATCATCTTAGTAGCCCCTCTCTTCCTTATATACTCTAGCTTTGCCAGTTGCATTCCCCAAAATGGCATTAAGAACTTAGTATGACTTTTCAGATGTGGCTCATAATAATGTTCCAGATGTCATTTGGCTAAAGCAAGGAACAGCATGATTATATCCGACCATGTTTAAAACTCTAAGTTTCTCTTAATGAAGATTATTTAGATTATTTTGGATATCATATCATATTATTGACTCATATTAAATACTCTAAAACCCCAGGTCTTCTTCACATGAAGTATGACCCATTTTGTATTTGTGGAGGTGATTTTTTAAACCAAGCCTGGGACTTTACATTTATTTTCTATTAAATTTAATCTCATTAGATTCATCCCATTGTTCAAGCCCGCCATGGATAACTGTGTTAAACAGCACATGAACAGATCAATAAATTTATGTTGCACTCCAGTAGAGGCATCAATCCAGTTCATTCATTAATAATCTAACTCTTAGTGTGGTAATTTAATGTTGATAGTTGCTGTGTACTAGAGTGGCATAACTCTTGACCCAACAGTTCAGGTTCAGTGGATTATTATCAACATATCTTAGAGAAGTATTGAGCTATTATTATAGGACTAAAAGAAGAAATATAATCCTTTTTGTGATTCCTGATAGGAATGCCTTTTCCTTTTTCCTTGAACCACACTGATATTTAGTTTGAAAATTTTAGAATTCAAGGTGAATTTAAAAAATACATTAGTTAATTCTACCATATTAAAAATATGCTAGAGTCTTTCACCAGTTAGTTAACTTTTACTTTGTTTGATGGCAGAATGGATAGATATTAATAGTATCTCATATTTAATGTTTTTAAATAAGTTTTCTCAATCTTAGGAAAATGGTGAATGCCGGAACTATTTTCTCCATTTTATGTATAAAGATCTAACTACAGGTACAGTTTCTATTTGCTCTGAGGATTTCCGGTAATGCTTCATTCTTTTTTTGTGTGTGAGGCAACTGGGGTTAAGTGACTTTCCCAGGGTCACATAGCTAGCAACTGTCAAGTTTCTGATGCCAGATTTGAACTCAGATTCTCCTAACTCTAGGCCCAGAGCTTTTGTTCTATATACTGTGCCACCTAGCTGCCCCATAATTCTTCATTCTTAAGCTGGACATATTTTTATTTGTTCTACTTTCAATACAATTACAAATTTTCATTACATATAGTATTTCTCAAGCATTGTACAAAGAATATTTTTAATGCTATACAAATGCTTCTAGGGTGATAAGTCACTTAACTTGTACATATTTTTTTTTTCTTACCTCTTCTTTATGACCTTCACTAGCTGGAGTTGCAGGTTTAGGAGGTGGCTTTGGTTTACCTTTTCCTTTTGGTTCTACTGCTTTTGGCAAACGGTCCATCTTATCTTGGATATACTCAATTATTCTGTAGTCAGCATAGGCTTTGGCAATATCCAAAGCATTATGTCCTGTTTAAAAAATGACAGCAGTCAAGGCAAGTGTGTGTATGTGTATGTGTATATGTGTGTGTGTGTGTGTGTGTGTGTTGATCTGAATGATCACATCTCTTCACTCAGGATCTCTTTCTACTATATTACATCACTACATGAGCTTACTAAAATTATGATACATTTAAAATGCCACTTATTGGCATCATTAAAACAACTAGCTCTACTCCTCCCTCCTCCTTTTTTTTTTGCTTTCTCTGACATTTCTTCGATAAGGTATCTCCGAAATGAAGGCTGTAAATATTGACGTATTACCCACTCTGTACATTTTAACTATGGTTGCTGCCTTCTCCCAAAGAATCATGGGATGTTGAAGTTGTGTGCCACTTTAGAGGTAACTTAGTCAAAGCCCCTTCATTTCACAGATGAAGAAACCAAGTAAGAGGAAGAGAGGTTAAGTCCCTTGCCCAAGGTCTATGAAGAGTTGGAATCTAAACCTATATCTTCTGACTCCAAATCCAATGCCCTTTCCAGTACATTATGTTGACTTCTCTAACATGAATGGCACTATATCTGTGCTACTTAGTTACAGAGCTTGGGGTAGAAGTGTGTGAGTGCGTGTGTAGGTGACTGAATGTATGCAGTGAATATGTGCTGTTCACCCAATTGCTGACCCAATATTGCATTGGCTCTTCTCATTTGTGATAAATTTTATAGAGCTTAACAGGTTATAAAGACTATCAGTAACTAGGGAACAACTCATTTCCTAAACAAGAACAAGGGTTTTTTTTTTTTTAATTTTCTCTATGCTTGAGAGTTATTAATACTTTCACAAAACAAAAAAGTCTGAAATAATAGCATTTTAGATGTATCATGTGGCCTTTGTTTCCAGGAAATTCTAATAGAATTGGCCCTAAATTTTGATTTATATTCAGTTGTGTTGTGGAATACCTCAGGTGGCCTTCCCTTGGGTTCTTAGAGCCAACAATGGCCCTTACTCAAGCCAATCCTTTATTACCCTTTAAGAGGAAACTGGAGAGCACTGAAACTTTAGTCTCTACTTCTTATAGGTTATAAGATGAAGCTAGAAATTTTATGGGATCATGTTTGTAACCATGGCCAAGAAGCTTCAGAAGTACAGCCACATAGCAATAAAATACTAGATGTCTTGAATGCTATCGACTATGCCCGGCTCTAATTTCAAATTCATTTCTCTAACATACCTTTTCTGTTTGTAGCCTGAAATTTAGCACCTAATTCAATTAAATATTGTACAGTATCCAGCCTACAGCTTTCAATGGCTCTCATTAAAGGTGTTGAGTTGTTGATTGAAGGTGCATCTATCGTAGCTCCATTCTTAACAAGGAGTTCAACGATATCCTGTTGACCTGCATGACATGCATGATGAAGTGGAGTCCACAGAAAATTATCTGTTTCATTAACATTGGCCCTGTTAAAAAAAAGTTGCATTAATTAATGGTACTGGGTTAATTTCAAGTTACTTTTCTTTAAATTTAAGATAAACATTCAAAATAATATTTTATGTTGGGCAGCAAGGTGGTACCCTGGATAGAGCACTGCGCCTGGAGTCAGGAAGACCTGAGTTCAAATCCAGCCTCAGACAATTACTAGTTGTATGACCCTGGCCAAGTCATTTAACTTATTTGCATCAGTTCCTCATCTGTACAATGAGCTGGGGAGGAAATGGCAAACCACTTCAGTATCTTTGCCAATTAAACCCCAAATGGTGTTAAGGAGGGTCAGACATGACTAAAAAAACTGAATAACAACAACATTAGGTAATTCAATTTTTATGAAACTTCTTCAAACTAGGGAAGTTGTGATTAAAGTGAAATAACTTGTGACAAATTTTGATGGACTTATAATTTACATTATGATTTTTTAACTATTCTGTACTATAAGCTACTTTTAATTTTTATTTTCTTTGCCTTTGTCTTTATTCTCAAGATTGCTACATGACAAAATAGTAACAGCTCATGTTTCTATAATAGTTTATAATTTATGAAGTACTTTCCTCACAACAATCCCCAGTGGCAAGCAAAACAAATATTATTATCCTCATCATACGATAAAGAAACTGAGGGTCTGAGAGATTAAAAGATTTGTTCTTAGTCTTAAAGCCAGTAAGTCTTGAAATCATGACTAAAACTGGTTATTTTGACTTTGAAGTCTGTGTTCTTTTTTACCTCACTATATAGCCTCTAATTGCTTCAAGTATGTATGTATGCATTCAAACATGCATGTGTATACACACATACATATATGCATATAATACATTACGTATACAAATGCATATATACATATCCATGTGAATGCTCACATATACATGCATTTTTACATTTATGTATACGTACATGTATATAGATAAAGATGTAATTCAGAGCTTCTGGGAAACCCATAGTAGGAACAATCCAATTTTGGATATTTTTTTCTTTACACACTGCTACTTTAAAAAAAATAATTCTTTGTTATGTCTACTCCCAAGCATAATATTTTAGTTTCAAATCTGCATTCTCTCATAAAGGTCACTGTCAAATAGATTACATTTGGTCTGCAATGAAGTTATTCTCCATGAAAAAATTAACTCATTAATAAACATATCTAAATATTTCTGTGGTTATTAATCATAGTATTTTAGTTACAAAAGTCAAATATATAAAGGGTTCAAAGCAATAATAACAAGAGTTAACATTCTGTTGAGGCTTTAAGGCTTTACAGTTTTCAAAGTGTTTTACACATATCAGCTGGCATTATCCTCACAACAACCCTGTGAGGTAGGTGTAACGTATTTCAATTTTATAGATGAGGAAACGAAGACTAAAAGATGGCAAGTGTTGAGGGCCACACAGCTCATTAGAGTCTGAGGAAGGATTTGAATTCAGACCTTCCCGCCTCCACTTTCAGTTCTTTACCCTTTTCATCAATGACACAGGACTATTATCTTTTCCAGAGCTCTTTCATGTCTGTTGTGTCAGCTGAATCTCACCATACAACTGTGAAACAGGCAGGGTATGAATAAATTTTATTTTCCAAAAGTACTTATTTCAATACTTCAGGTAGCTGTGTTTCTGTGGGTATGGGTCTTCAAGCCTCCACTGACACAGATCACAGTTTCCCTGGAATATAGCAGATAGATTTTTTTAGAGTTGCCATGCACCCCAAAGTCATTATCCTAGAGCCAGCCTCATGATGAGCCTTTGGACAACAAACTAACAATCTATCACTATGAAATGCCTCTCCAGCTCAGTGGGACAACCAGGAGGGGTGGGGGGGTGGCCCACCTGTACTCTATAAGTAAGTATCAGGGACTTCACATACTTTTAGTTCCCAAAATCATATAGCAGAAAACACAGCAACGAGTCAACATATATTGTGTATATATATCCCTAAGTGCAGAATGGTTAAATGAAACTATTGTCATCACTCTGGCCTATCTACTAATTCTACATATCAGAGAATGTCTGAGAGAGGGTTGTCGTTTGAACTTCACATCAGACAATCATAAGCTTTAGAGCTGGAAAGGACCACCTGAAAGATCATCTCATCCGACTTCAGAATTTAATGTCACAAATGTCATGATGCTAGTAACTAGAAGAGTCAGGATTTGAACCCAGGTTCTCTGAATCCAAATCCAGTGTTCTTTTCCCTATATGTTACTATACTTCTTCCCCTCTCCTTTTATCTCCCCAGGAAGATAAAGCAGGATCTCAAGGACCCTACTTATCACTCTACTAGCATCTTTGAAATTAAAAAGCCATGTTGGGAATCAGCAAGGATAATGTAGTTTCATTCAAGTAAACAGAAGGGAGGGACTATTTTGAAAGGAAAAGATGTGCTTTAGAGAGAGAGAAAAACATAGTCTACATCTTGTCTGTATTGACTAGAGTGTCTCAAAAAAAAAGACATCTCCAGAAGGGACTTCCCCATACCACTTAGTGGCCCCAGTAGTTAACTAACTGGGTTGGGGATGGTCTGGAAACCTGATGGTCTAGCTCCTTGGCCTCCTTACTGCTACATGGATCCTTAGGCTGGGGGTGGGGTGGGGTGGGGTAGGGAATAGGTCTTTCCAACAAGCAGTATATTCCTTCACCAGAATGCTGGGGGTCTACTGTTCCACAGTGGAGGAAACCAGAGACTACCTATTGATAACAAAAGAAGTCCAGAACTAAATTCTCCTTTGGTTTTGCAGGCTCTCTAGATCTTCAGAGAGGAAAAATATTTGAAGGAATCTCTTATATTCATGAATTTAGTCAACTACCCAGAGGAGGTCCAGCAGGGAGTTAGAACTGAAAAAAAACAAGATGCTTTCAGGGAAACTAGTCAAATTCTACAGTGCAATTATTGATACTCTAATATTTAGCACAATTTCTTTTGATCTTGAAGAATGTTGACCAGAAAAAGCTTCACCAAATAAAGTAACATACCCCCTTTCAAGAAGAAATCTCACAGCATCTATGTTTCCACATTCGCATGCAGCCATTAATGGAGTTTTATAAAACCTGTCCTTCATATCTACTGGTATTCCTGCTTCAAATGCCTTTTTCAGGGATGCCAGATCTCCAGATTTAGTGATATAATTAATATTGCAGTATATTTTTCCAGGGTCATCAATATACCAGGAAGAATCATCCTGAATGGGATGTCTGGGTGGAAGATCTTGATTAAATCTATTGCAGTCTGTAATGTTTTGGTAAGTTTCAATCATATAATAAGGTGGCCCACCCTCCTTTCGACGTTGAAACACGTTGTCAGGAATATAGCAGACTGGAAGAGGAAGGACAAACTTGCCTTTCTTGGCCTTCTTGCCCCTTCCCTTCTTCTTTTTCTTGGGTCCATAGGATCCCAGAACAAAAGACTTTTGCAAATATCTGGTCCCTTTAAAGAATTCATTAATGTTAACACCTGCTCCTCGGCTTTTTTCATGGTGCTGTGCAATAGTGACTAGATCTTCACTGCTTGCAAAGTTCTGCATTTCTTCAAGCACCATTATAAAGTCCTCTTTAGTTAGAGTTCCATCACCACGGTCCATAGGAGCAAAGACATCTCGCAATTCTTTTTCATGTTCATAAGACCAGTCATGTAATCTGATAGCCCAGGGTGAATTTGGATTTTTAACTCCAGGCTTGGCTAATTTTTTGGCAATTCTCTCAGCTTTGCGTATTTCTTTGGATGCTGCCTTGAAGCCACTTTCTTTAGCAACATTTCTTGGTGTCTTGTGGTCTAAGTTCTTCCATTTTAGGTCACATCCTAAAAAAACCCACACATTTCTTTACTAATTGGGCAAAACACCGGAATGGTTTTTTTGTTGTTGTTCTACAAGCACTACAAAACAAATTTGTAACACTATTCAAGCAATTATTACATATTTATACTTACAGTTTCTAACATAATCATAATGGCTATTTCTATAGTGCTGAAGACATTTATATAGAAATAGAATAATACAGGTTTCAATTCTTAAAGAATTGAAACAGCATTTCAACAACATAGGTAATCCCTCCTCTGACTCAGATTACAATCCGTCTATGCTTTAGTAAACAGTCTTTTTGAATTGTGATAATAACTATTCATCACCCTTCTGCCAACCTGGTGATGGGCATCTCTTCAAACTCAACTAGGATATTCTCATAGAGATACATCTATGTCCTTCACTTCCTGCAGGCTTTCCAATTTTGCAGGACAGAGATAGCCTTCGGGAATACAAGCACCTCCATGCTAAGATGAGGCATGTACCAAGTCCTGAGCTAGGCACTATGAATATAAAGATAAAAGTGAAAAGTCTCTGCCTTCAGGGAACTTGCAGTCTAGCCAGCAAGACAACATGAAAATCTATTGGTGTATACAAAATAGATATAAATGGGTACAAGGTAGCTCTAGGGAAAGGGGAGGGCACTGGCTACTGGGGAAGATGAGGAAACAACTCATATAGAACATGGCACTTGAAGGAAATTGGGGATTCTGAAAAATGGAGGAAAGAAAGGAGAGATTTCTAAAGATTTGAAGACTGAAGATGCCATGTCATGTATGAGAAATATCAAGGAGAGTTTGGTTGGACTATATTGTGTAGAGAGGAATGATGTATAATAAAGTTGGAATGCCAAGAGAGATTTATAGATAATAGAAAGCTATTATAGTTTATCGAGTAGGAGAATAACTTGGTCAGGCTCACTTTTCAGAAAAATCAGTTAGGCAGCTATGTGGAAGATGGATTTGAAAGGGGAGAGATCAATTATTGCAATCATCCAGGCATATGGCAAGAAAGTCCTAAACTAAAGTAACATCTGTACAAGTGGAGAGAAGTGGAGATTTGCAAGAAGTGTCATGGTGAGATAAAGAAAGGATTCAGAAACTTACTGGCTACGTGGAGTGAGTGAGAAGGAGATGAAGATGACCACTGAGGATGTGAACCTGGGTGATAGGATGGATAGTGATGCCCTTGACATAAATGGGTAAGTTCTGAAGAGGAGTGGGTTCACTGGGGAAAGTTAGTGAGTCCTGTTTTGGACAAGTTAAATTTGAGACATCAATGGGACATCCATTTTGAAATTTCCAGTAGGCAACTGGTGATGTGGAGCACTTGAGAAAGTAGAATTTTTGAACTTTGTAGCCTTTGACCACAGAAACCAGCTGGGATAGGGGATGGAAGGAGGACATTCCACAAAAAGAATGGGAGAAGAGGAATTTTCCCCACATTTCATTTCTCAAGAATGCTTTTCTACAAGATGGTAAACTGAAAAGTCATGGATTAAGAAATGGTTTGTGACAGTAAACAAAAACGTTCAAGAAAAAATGTCTACATATTGGAATCCAGGCTTCACTCCTCTGGGGAAAAAAACAAAACAAAACAATTTCCACTAAAAACTTGCTGATATGTATGATGGCATGTAAGTGACCATGAGTTCTTGAAGAATTTGCTCTAGTAGGCCCTATAAAAGCTAGAAAGGTTTGAAGTATGGACCTGATGATGGATAATACAGCTGACATCTGAGGACCTGTCTAGCTAAGGTGGAGTAGCTTACTTCATCAGCTTGATTACCAGGTGGTGAAATTAAGCCTTAGTACTTCAGAAAACCTATTTGTTAAGTCAAAATGGCATGTTATACATATTGGTGAAGGGATGCTGAAATGCTACCATAGCATAAAAAGTACTTTACTTGTGGTATATGAATATAATCGAATATTGCTGTGCTGTGAGAAATGACAAATACACTGAATACAGAATATCAGAAAGACTTACATGAATTGATACAGATTGAAATAAGCAGCTAGAAAACAGTCTACAAGATTAACAATGTAAAAGAAAGAACAGTCACCACAAAACAATCAAAAGTAACTGCTGCAAATTACAAAGAATAAACATGGCCCCCCAAAAAGTGATAAGAGAAAACATCTCTGTTCTTTTAAGGTGAAAAGTCCACAAGAGCAGAAGATAACATGTATTTTTGGATATTCTCAATGTATTTACTAATTTTGCTGATTTTCTTCCTCTTTTTTCTTTTAAATATTTCTTTAATTATATGAGATGGCTTTTGGGGTGTGTGTGGGGGGAAGCAACACAGACAGAAATTTCAGTGATGTCAAAACAAAATATATCAATAATAGCTGGTAAGCCAAGATGGCAGAGTAATATGATGAAATAGGGTTGAGCTCTCCCCACAATTCCTTCACAAAGATCCAGAAAATGTACTAGATGAACTCTTCACAAGGAAATAAGAAAAATTCCCAGTGATACTGGGCACAGGGAAACACAGAGAGAGAGAGAGAGAGAGAGAGAACCACAGAGACTGGGATCTAGTCAGGAATGGCCGAAAGAGGTTCTCCTATTGAGGGATATTTTTCCTATTATATTAATTACCAATTATTAAATTAGGATTAAGGATTTTTATCTTTATCTCCTCATTCAGTGTCCAGCCTCTGTAGGTCATTCAGCCAGTCTCTGAAGGACAAGGCTGATAGATGACATTGCCCAAATCTTCCTGAAACCTACCCCTTGATCTTGGATGAGATCCCACCCAACCAGGAGACCTTACTTCTGTTTATAGTATAAACAGAATGTAATCTAGGTGAATTCCACCCCCAAAACATTAAACCCATGTCTTTGCACCCCTCTCCATTGGAGTTTAGGGTAACCCAGGTCATGAAGAAGAAAACCAGCCAAGAGTGGTCTGGGAAGAAATGGATCCTTTGTGCAGATTGCTGGAGGCAGCTCAGTCTCATGATCAAGCCATGTACTCAGCAGGAGGAGCTGAAGACTTACCCACCTTCTCATTAATATGCCCACCCTGCCTCATTAGTTTTTCACTAACCTGGATTGATTTTCACCTATTGGAATACCCCCTTTTCGAAAGGTATTTAAGCATTCAGTGATCTCCACGGTTTTGTCTTTGGTTACCAAGAGAAAACATTGATTATCACTTTATTGATTACCAGCCACCCTACTTAATAAACTGATTATTAATTATCCAGAAACTCTATCTCTCGGCTTTTCATTTGTCTCACTACATAAGGACTGAAAGAGGGCTGAGGCTGTACACTAGGTCAAGAAGGGAGGAAAAAAGCATTTTATTAAGCACCTACTATGTGCCAGACAGCTAGGTGGTACAGTGGATAGAGTGCTGGCCCTGGAGTCAGGAGGACCTGAATTCAAATCTAGCCCCAGACACTTAGTACTTGTGTGACCCTGGGCAAGTCACTTAATCCTGTGTGCCTCAGTTTCTTTTCTGTACAATGAGCTGGAGAAATAAATGGCCAACCATCCCAGTGTCTTTGTCAAGAAAGCCCCAAATGAGATCACTAAGAGTTGGATATGACTGACTAAACAACAACAAAATGTGCCAGGTACTGTTCTGAATACATTGCAAATATTATGTTATTTGATCCTCACAACCGTGTGAGGTAGGTGCTATTATTCCTATTTTACAGTGAGGAAACTGAGGCAAACAGAGGTTAAGTAACTCACCCAGGGTCACACTTGTTGCTAAATGTCTGAGATTGGATTTGAACTCAGGTCTTTTTGACTCTAGGTCCAGCATTCTATTTACTGTATCATCTAGTTTCCAAGAAAAGGTTTCAGACCAACACAGAGGGGTTTGGCCTTGTGAAGGTCGCAGGAAGACCTGTCACCTGATAGTTCTGACCTTTACTACTTAGGTCCAAGACACAGATCAAGGGTAAACTGGGAGAGTGACTGCCCCTGGGGTAGTGGTCTGAAATAAGGTGTGGTCACAGATTCTACGATCAGAAGTAAGCAGCAGCTGTGTAACTGACTCCAGGAGTGGAGTGTGGCCACAGTTTTAGCCACAAACTCACTCTAAAGCCTAGAGTGAAATATCCAGGACAAGAATCCTAGATCAAAGGGAAGCCTTCAGTTTTGTCACTCAGAACCAGAAGCACTTTCTGGCTCACTAATAGTGACTAAGTCTATTAGCAGTCTACTGAAACTCATAATAGAACAAGTCCACAGTTCTGTGGTTTGGTAACAAAACCAGGTCAGGAAATTTCAGAGCTCAGAATAGGCCAGCATCAGACCACTCTGGGACTTTAAAAGCTTGGAGGTCCCCAGCCTGAGATCCCAGAATCCAGAGATTCTGGAATAAAACATTCAGTACCTCAAACGAACAATAACAAGACTGAAGAAGACACAAATTCAGCAACACATTCCCTCCAAAAGTGGGCAGAGCCCAGGTCTAACACAAAGTCCAACATCAGAAGTAGCCTAGAAGAATAAGCACACTTGTTAAACACACACACACACACACACACACACACACACACACACACACACACATACACACGCACGCACGTGCGCACACGAAGAGAATTACTCTCTTTTCTTTTAAATGTTTCTTTAATTATATGAGATGGCTTTTGGGGTGTATGTGTGGGGGGGAAGCAATACAGGCAGAAATTTCAGTGATGTCAAAACAAAATATATCAATAATAGCTGGTAAGCCAAGATGGCAGAGTAATATGATGAAATAGGGTTGAGCTCTCCCCACAATTCCTTCACAAAGATCCAGAAAATGCACTAGGTGAACTCTTCATAAGGAAATAAAAAAATTCCCAGTGATATTGGGCATAGGGAAACAGAGAGAGAGAGAGAGAGAGAGAGAGAGAGAGAGAGAGAGAGAGAGAGAGAGAGAGAGAGAGAGAGAGAGAGAGAAAACCACAGAGACTGGGATCTAGTCAGGAATGGCGAAGAGAATGAATCTAAAACATCTTCAAAGCTTCAAAGAGAAAGGAGCTTG